CCACCATATCTGCGCCGCGCGCCCTCGACGCCTCTTCCCCCGCGGCCGCACAAGTGTCTGAGCATCAAATTAATCGTAAAACATGCACTCTATGCTTGCGTGAACACAGCACCATCAGTTCAAGAAGTGCAGCTGGCCGGGACGCGGGCCCGCATACAGCTCGCCGCGCTTGAACAACTCGTGCGGCTCCTCCGGCAGCTCCGCCCTCGCCTCCGCCTCCTTCGACACCCACTTGTCCGACTTCGGCCCGTCTCGTACGTGATGCGGCGGGTACCTCTCCGGGTCGACCTTGCTGCTTCCCCGCCGCTTCCCGATGTCGTTCCGGCCCAGATTCGGCGTCAAGCCATAGTTCAGGTGAGTCGGGGCAGCGAGCAGCGGATTGAGCTTCGCAGCGTCGTACTCGGCCTGCGAGATCGGCTCGAATGTGAGGTCTCCGCTCCTCAGTGCACTCACGAGCTTCGAGATTCGTGCGAGCCCTGTCACATCGCTGAGGTCGGTGAAGTACACGCCCTCGGGCCATCCCACCAGCTTGAGGCGATGCTTGAGGTAGATGTCCTCACAGAGGCCGCTCACCGTCCAGCGCATCGACACCTTCGGGTCGCGGTGTCCTACGCGCGTCACTGGTGCACACACGGCCGTGAGACACAAAGCCAACCCGGAATCACTGATGCGCTCACCTAGCTTCTGCGTCAAGCCCTGGCGAACCTCTCCGCGCATTGCTATCTCCCTCCTCGCATACGTTGTGCCGATGGTGTTCCCGAGCGAACGAAAGGCCGGCTTTTCGGGGCGCTTCTGGCGCGTCATCGCGACGTAAAGGCGTCGGGGTATGGCAGAACGAAGGGCTGAGAACACTCAAAGTAAGTATAATGTTTTCTCCAAGACACTAGGACATTGAGCTTACGAGCGATTGCAGCAGATCGATCACAAAACACGGGCCCAGAAGAGAGGCAAAAGGATAACCTCGCAGAGGACTCGGAGGAGCGTCCCCAGCGGAGTACAACCACGAGCGCGAGCACAAACCGGGGCGGCAGAGAGTACGAGCTCGCGTGCGTCGATAGACTATATTCAAAGTAGGTGCACCCGCTTGCACGTCTCCATCCGCACTAACCTCACGACAGGCTCCATCAACTCACCTAGATCTCGGCCTACCGCTGGAGCAGTCGCGCGAAACCTCCGCAGCGCAGTAGCCCGCCCTCCTTGCCGTGCTGTGCCTCGCTTCAGCGCGATCTCCAGCACTACTAGGTACTCTCTTGGGGTTTGAAATCACGTCGCACATCTCCGACCGTGGGTGCTGGCCTCGAGGAGTCTGAAACTGGGAGGACTCGCGTACCGCATCTCCCGCGCGCGAGCCGTCCGTTCGGCAACAGGTGCATGCAAACGGAAACTACCAAATGCGGCGAGTGATTGCTGACGTCGCGTCCCGCCCTCCGCTCATCTCACTGCACTCAGGGACACCCAGACGTGGGCCCGTCTCACCCGTGCTCTCCTCGTGCCCGCAGCGATCGTGTCGGCGACACGATCTCCATTCTCCCGGGCGCGAGTTGTATTTCTCAGCCATACCAGCGGTAGCTCTCCGCAGTTTCTCGGTCAGTATTGCTCTCGAGCCCCACGAAGCACGTGTAAATGTACGGGTCCCAGTTCGCTAATCCACCCATTTAGTCTCGCCCGCTTTGATTGTGCTCCCACCAACATAGCACCAGGAGGTGCTATGCCATTAGCTCTGTCGGTCCTCGCTTAAAGATGACCCTGGAGGGTTTCATGGGACACCGCTGTCTGTGGCCGGCCACTGGTGCCTTCTCGATGCGGCCCGTCGCTTCAAAGCGTGCGGAATTCTGGCATGCGAATACGCGGCAACACGCACTCGAGATACGCGAACATAGAGGGTGCGGTGCGCCGTAAACAACGCTTGCGGAGGATATGTCGGATATACAGCGGTCCGCCGCGAATCATGGCGCGATGGCCCGCTTTGGATCGTTTGCGCGAGCGGTGTATGATGCAATGTCATCAAGAAGAAGTCGCAAGAGGCAGCCAGTAATGGGCTCATCGACCGGGAGACGTATGTTATCCCACCCCATCTGCACGATCTCTAGGAGGCCGACCTGCCCGAGACACAACACAGTCTCGTCATGACCGGGATTGTGCAGTTCCGCGAACGTGCCGCGAAGCACGAGCGCGATGAGATGCGTGACGTCCGGAAGCCATGCCCAACGTTCTTGCAGCCCCGAGCGGACCTAAGCGGACCTAAGGCCCGCGAGTGGGGGAAAGCACAGCTACAGGAGGACCTTCCACAGGGTGGAAAGGGGTTTGGTCATGGTGCGCACAACAAGCCTGTCGGTTTTGTCAAGGCTAACGACAGAGTTTATACACCTAGATCGGATAGGCCGTCGTCCGCCCCATATACAAAGACTGACGAATAGTTGGAGGCGGAGGGACGGGAGGCACGACAATGAGACGAGGAGAATACCTGGAAAGACATGAGCCCACGCCACCACACGCCTGCCATCATTCGTTGACTCTGCTCCCCTTTCAGCGAGAGCGTCGCTATAGCTCCGGGAACGTACCCGAATCACGGCGCTGGAACGCGTCATCACGCGAGAGCGGGCAGTGAAGGGGGCCGAGGAGCGGGATCGGTCTGAGATGCGTACCCGACCGTTGGATGTGCGGGACGATGACAAGAGCAACGAGATAGTATTCTACACCAATTTGGTGCGGCGGCGGGTACTGTGCTCTCGACAGCTCGCGGCAGATTGGAGGACCTGGCAACGGTGTACTCGCGAGCCGGCCCTCTGGATGCCGATCTACGCCCTCGCATCATCTGGGAACTTGACGAATGCCGGTGGGTGTACGCTTTCTTTTGTGACTTCCGGCTGCGCTTTGCTGATATCGGAAGTGCGATGGTGCTAGGGAGCGTGTGGCCGACTCACACTCAGAGCCTACGCCGTGGT